GTTGGACTGGATGATCTTAAAGGTCTTTTCCAACCTCAACAGTTCTATGATTCTAAGTTTGGGAGAGGCGGTAAGGTTTAGTGGAATGAACAGGACTCCAGGAGCTGAACGTTCTTGAGTTCTGACACTGTTAATGGCTATAACAGTGGGGTATGTGATTGCTGTTAACAAAAACTTCATATAAATCTAATACATGCTGCCAACAACCTCATTAATTTTCTTTTCTCCTCCACTTTAACTATCCTGAAAACATGGTAGAGTGGGATTGGAAAGATTCCCATACACTATTCCCTTGCTTCAAGAGACAATTAACTAATCAGGCAATATCTGATAGCTGTATATCTGATCCATTCTCAACAACACTAATAGAAAACCCCTTAGTTTTCCCAGACAACTTGCTGCCGTGTTTGACTACTCTTACAGTTGTGACTTTTTACCTGAAGGTTAATCTGAATCTGCTATGTTGCAGTTGATTCCCATGCTTTCTTGTCCTGTTCAAGGATGTGTTCATGGAGAACAGTCAATATCCTTCTTAGTAAGTGCTGTTCTTAGTGTCATGTTTTCTGCAGGTTACACAGCCTCAGTTTATTCAGCATTGAAGTTTGAGTGAGGGATTGTAACTATGTATTACAGTGGTTCCCCAATCTTTTATGTGCAATATAAATATATAAGTATGATGGTAGTAGTAGTAGGGCTGTGATTTTATGGTTTAAGTTCTAAGTATTGTGTTTTGCCAAAGAAAAATGAAAGTAAAGTTTCTGTATATTTTGTGTTTTAGATAAGTTCTCGCCATTTGCATCCAGCACTGGTAGAAGAATAAATATATGTTATACTAGAAAACTCTCTCTGCTGGATGGGGAAAACAGTAAGTTAATAAAATGTGTGTGGAGGGAGACGAGATACTTGATGGATAAAGTTATTTCAACTGGTGCTTGAAAATTCAGGCTAAGAAATAGCAAATAGAAGCAGTATAAGTTTTATGCAATTTAAGCAGGGAATTCACAAAATTGCATGATTAATCCACACTGTTAGATCTTGAGGAGATATAAACCAAATTCAAATGACACTACCAATGTTCATCATTTATATGAATAAGGTTGAGATTTTTAGAAGAGCTGAGTGCCATTGACTTTTTTTTTTTTTTAACTTCACTTTGGTGTGAAAGTATTCAGCACTTTTTCCCATTAAAAATCTGTTCTCTGTCCAGGTAACTTAGTATAGATTTCAGAGCATAACTTCAGGTGTTCATCTTTGAAAAACAAACTGTCTAGAATTCAGTATGAAATCTGCAGTATGTACTAAGCTAATCTGAAAATAGTTGTTTTAGTATTGGTAGGTCTCTTTCACTTTATCAAAAAAGGTAGACTAAATATTGTTTATATGTCATTATTCTCTAGATCCTATAATTAAACCTACTCACATATACATACTTTGTTTTATTGAACAGTTGTGGATGTAGCTGTAAGTTACAATCAAGAAGGGTCATACAACATGCAGGTACAAGTCCAATTTTTTTCAGATGTTTCATTAGATAAAAGAAGAATCAGTTTCCTGTAGACTTCTCTTGCTGTTAACTGTTATTAAAGTTGCTTGGTAATTACCAATACAGGATTCCATTTTCTGTTTGCTTGCAGCCATTGTTGTAGACTATTATTTTGGCCTGAAATTGTATTTACTAGATGCTGGATTGGCGTGGAAGAGCTACTAAAATGCTTCTAAAAATAAGGCTAAGAAAAGCATTTGTTTTTCCAGTATTTAAAGATCTTACTCTTTATTTTTCTCTTCCTTAAATTGTCTTTCTAAGACATTGGAAGTTAGATGTAAATCTGCATTTAAAAAGACATTTTTTCCACAGGACTCCTGCTTTATTCTGTGCATGAGATGGATCTCCTGTGGGATAAATAAAAGCTTTCTAGACCATTATCTGTAAGATAACTCTTTTTTTTTTTTTTTTTGAAGATGGAAATTGGAAAGTTATTACCAAATGAGATGAGGAATGATGAGAGTAGTAAATCGGGTTAAATAATTGAATGATACCCCATAGACTTGGCTTCTTTGTCTAGACTATAGAGTTCCTACAGGATACAACTCAAGATGCTTTAAACATAGATTTCTTTGTGTGTGTGTGATAGTGTCTTAATTGTGTGGCTTATGGGGGTTGTGTTTTGCTGAGTGTTGAATATCCTTCTTGCATCACCTGGAGTCCAATGGGTTTTATCTCAAATTTGGCACCCAAAATGATTGCATGCTTGGGAATGCAGTCTCTCTGTAGTTCAGCTTCTTATTTCCAATATTCAGAAAAGGAGAATTATGAGAATAAGTCAGTATCTATGAACTGCTTAGTCTGTATAGAGATGAGTGTACTAGAAGAATAGTGAGAAAATTACTGTGCTTTCATGTGTATAACCACATGTTGGGTAACTAAAACCCTTATACCTTTATTTCTACTGATAGGAATAGTGAGATAACCCACATCCCTCAAGTAATACCCAGGTTATTCTGAGTGTATTGATTACATACATAATGCAGGAGAGCTTTTATGCTTTGGGCTTATCTCATACAAGTAATGTCAGCAAAAAATAAAAAGGAATGTAGAGTGGGGTGTTTTGGGGAGGGGAAATGCAACTGGGGAGAATGTAGACTCCCAGGGAAGAAGGAAGAATGGGGGTTGAGGTGGAAATGGAGAGAAGCTGGAGATAATGGATGGAGAAACAGAATTGGGAGCTGATCATGAGGGGGACAGTGCCTCTGCAGTGCTACACCACCTGTCCTGAGGCAAATCAACCAGAGGAGGTTGCTGGGCCATGGAACTGGCAAGCAGTCACAGTGCTGCCCAGGGTATTGCCCTAATTTGTGCCCCTGCTCAGGATACTGATCAAGCAAAGGATTTTTTCTCAGAGGTCAGTATCAGATCAGCAGTATCCTTTTAAGGCATAAGGTCTTCATTCAGTGGAAAAATAGTATGCGACTGTATAAATGAAGACTGAATTTTATCTCTACTTGTAACATCCTGAAAGACTAGCAAGTCTCTGATTCTTTGCTCACTGATGTTAGATGTACAACTGAAAAGATCAGTTAAATGTAATGCACTTATGTTCGTATTCTTACTGTCTTTATATTCTGAAGTTGTGGCAGAGGTGCAGTTTCCATTGATGTAGATGAAAGGGTTACCTACAAATAAATAACCTTTCCATTTGCAGTTTTGGTGTCTAATTGACACTGTCTCCATGACTGCTCTCCTCTGCTCCTTTGTAGGTTTACTTGAGTATGTTGTAGTTTTTGTATTATAAGCTTCCAAGTTACCTGTCTTTTGTAAACATTGTGGAAACTTCTGATGTGAGGTGAATAGTATGGATTTTTCAGTTTGAAGAAAGTCAAGATACTAGGACAAATTAAAAATACTGGATTCTAATAGCATCACTAAACAGAATATTCTGGGTTTTTGTTTTTCCTGAGAAATAGTATACCTTTGTGTTTTGCTGAGTGCTCTTGCATAGTTTGTGATAAAAATTGTCCTCGGAGAGCATATTAGGCAATCTTCTGAGCTGATTGCATTGGATACAGAATACATTCTGTTAATTGGAAAAAAAAAAAAAAGGATCTATAAGATTTAAATTTTTTTTTTAATTCCACAATTACCTATGAATGTTATGAGTGCATACTACAAATACTAACTTTTGGGTTGTTGTGTTAGAGCTCATGAAGGGTAAGGCTTTGTCCTTATAAAAGCATTTAACTTCCAGATTCAAGATAAAACATTCCTGACTTCCGGAGAGATCTTCAATGAAGGTGATTCAGTTTACTTGAGGTCTTCAGTAAATGGAACAGTGTGTAAGTCCAAATTGGTCATTTTGGACAACACCATTTATCTATTTTTTCCGGTAAAGTTCCTTTCTTTATTATCACAAGTATAAAATTTCAAAGTTTTATCCATGTAAATGAACAATATAAATCGCACGAGGATGTGAAAGAGAATCATAATTTCAAGTTCTTACATTGGCCCATAATGTTTTGATACTTGTTGGATTTATAGCTCTAAGTAGAAGTTTGTTGCTTATGGTCAATGAGTGGAAAGTAATTACTTTTAGAAAGCTAAAATACGATTAGGTGAATCAGAATTGCAAATGATGGTTTGGGAGGGGGGAACACAAAATATTAAAATGGTCAAGTATCTAAGTTTGTCATAGAACAGTAGCAATTACTTCAAACTGATTATTTGAAAGTGCTTGTAACTGGTATTTTTATTTCAGTGTATTTAATTTTTAATATTAAATTATTAGAAAGAAATTGATATTGGTCTGAGGAAGGGTACCTTCAGGTAATATTAAAAAGTCGGAATTATGAGTTACCATGGCATTATCTGCATTGCATGAATAATGGCATTTGAAAGAGGAGGTACCCTAATTTGCATGATTACGCTGGTATTTGCTGTTAAAAAGATTACAGGGCTTTAAGTAACTCAATAAAAATGCAATCTAAATAAGTAAATTATTATGTATTAGTTTCAATAATTAACCTCTAGCTCTGAGCCCCTTAAGACTTCCAGAAGAATGCAGTGAAAACTTTGCTGCTCCAATGATGAGGATAAAGTAACTCATGCTGGAATGACAAAGCTCAGTTTTCCTCTGGTATTAGAGTGGAGTCTGAGGTGGGGGATCTAGAAGAAATCACAGGAGTTTTAGGATGTGGGGGAGAACGAGTCTTTGGGAAACTCTGGGTAGCAAGTCTGAGAGGAATCAAGAGATTTTGAATGACAGTGAGAATTTTTTGCTAAGCTTAGCGCTGAATCCATTTTATTGTGGATTGTGAAATGCTTGTATTGACAGTGCTTGGCAATGAAGATGCTAATGTCTTTCATACCTGTTGTAGCAACCTGCCTACCCCTTGTGCAAACAGCTTTACTCATTTTCTAAAACCTTCTGTGCTGTTGCTGCGTGAACCGAAGAGGTGCGGGTTTGGGACTAAGGTAGTTCCTTCCTCGCTGGTCCTTAGCAGCAGTGGGTGTGGCTTTTAAGGACTTAGACGTTGGCAAAGCAGGAAGCATGCCCACAGGCTTTTTGCTGCCCTGGCCCTAGTAGCCTGCCACCCTAAACAGCTGACTGATTTGACTAAAGTGGGATCTGTTCTTTCCCTGTATGTCAGCATGTCTACTAGTGGTATTATTTTATGTTGTTAACTTACGTTATTGATTTTATTTCTGTAGGAAGGTAGTGCCCAGATTGGCCTTCCTGTACCCAAGTACTTATCTGCAGTAAGTTCAGCGGGAATGCAAAGTGGTGCTGTAGCGCCCATGACGGGCACAGTTGAAAAGGTAATTATAATAATATGGGTAGGAAATTAATTCTCCAATATGTATACAAGCTCAGTCTTCCAGAAATGGTGCTTGCTTCTGTAGTGCCAGGAAAGAATGAGAGCCAGAAATGTCAGTGCTGTGTGGCTTCTCCCAACTGGAAAAAGCCCTGTTTACTCTGACTTTTCAGCAGCCACCCAAGAGTTTTTCAGGCTTCTTGTCTTCTTTTTCTGGAGCTCTGGAAAAGCTGAATATTTAACTAATCCTACTGCTTAAATAAGTTTTTTCTTCATCTTAATTACTTTTTGAGTCAAAGTTCCGTGAAGTGTTAATGGCTGTTTGATCCATTTCATCTAACCAAAAGAATGAGATGCTAGATGCACTTGCAAAAAAAGAAATATTCAGAAATGCCTTTTTTGTTAAGCTGTGTGTTTTGCTGCTTCTGTTTCTGGTTTTGTTTCTTTTTCTTTAGAGGAGCAAGTCTTCCGTATTTTTCTGTACAGTAGAAAAGTTTCAACAGAAAACAGATTTCCAAGAGAGTTTAGTAGTTAAAGGGTTTTACTAGCAATAAAAAGGCATGAACCCTTTCACAGAGGATCTTTTACATACTGAGTGAACACTCTAAATCAAAATTTTTGCAGAAAAACTAGGTGGCTCCTGCAATCTACTTTCTGGATTTTGTTTTAAGAACAACTGTAGTGAATGGCTCCAGGAAGAGTTTCTTCTCAAAATAGAAGCTCTTAAGCACAGAAAGGGTAGAATATACATTGTCTCTTCTAGTATTTCTTCTTTGATACATAAATGGCTTCCTGGTCATCCTGTTAGCTGTTACTGAACCTCTTTCTATAGCCTCCGATTCCCCTTGAGTATTAGCTAGAGAACTCGGATACCCAGTTCAACAATCATAAAGATACTATGAGGCTGTTCTGCAAAACCACAATCGCTCAGTGGATTGTGCTAGCCAAGATCCAGCTGATGGTTTTTAATGGTACAGACATGCATAATTTTTTCCCAATTTTCTCTTGAATTGTAGGTGTTTGTGAAAGCAGGGGATAAGGTTCAGATTGGAGACCCTCTGGTGGTTATGATAGCTATGAAAATGGAGGTGAGTGACATACAAAAGGTTTTTAATTACTGAGAAAATAAAAATCTGGTCATAATTTAATTATTTGTGGTTGCATTGTTGAAGTATGTTGCAGATTGTAGCTTGCAGATATCAGTATCACTTTATATGCTCTAAAACAAGTGTTGGGTCTGACTAGATTTCAGAGGATTATATTTGCTGTTACTTTATTAACAAATGATGATTATATAATCCATGCTATTCTGCAGATGTTTTGACATTCATTTGCTTAGCTTTGTCAGTCCTTCTCTTCCCTCCCAAGAAATCAAGGTATGTCTCTCGCTCGCTGTGATACAAGCATATGTAATGTCTGCAGTTACTTCATGCAGAAATTTAGCTAATGATGACTTTGTACATATGCCCAGGATTTTTTTTGTTTATAATCTTTTTATTATTATTTACATAAAGTTTTACCAAGAGCACACTAAAGATTCTTTGTAATTGTCCAGATGGCATTCAGTGGACTAGTATTTTGGCCATTATATCTTGTCACATTGCTTTACCATGGTTCAAGTTTCTTGAATTACAGTTTTTGTAGCCTGAACTGGTGTTTGGTTTGCTTGTTAGTTTATTCTAAACTTCAGTTTGTGGTAGCAGAATTAACATTGTTGAGAGAATTTGCCTTTCCCTTATCATGTCCTTTTGTAAATTACAATAAAATTACATGAAATACAACATCTGTGCACTAAAAAATTTACACCCAAAATTATTTGCGATTGGTTGTTAAATGTTTGCGCCTCTTCAGCTGATACCTGACTGACATTATCTGAATTGTTCTCTTTTTTTCAGTGTTACTGAAATATAAAATGAAAAATTCAAAAAGCATATTATTATTTAAATGAATTCTTGCTTAGATATGAGGATTTAATATCTGATATTAAATGTTTTGATATTAGGCTAACCCTATTTAGAGAATTACCTAGAAACAAAACTTCAATGGAAAACTAACCTGATATAATGCAAGTAGACCAATTTGGGGATTGGTATGTAAACATACTATTCCTTTACTATCACTAGGAGCTGTATTTGTATTTCATTTGGATTTTGCTAAATACCTGTTCAGTAAAGACCCCTCCTGGCCCACAAACAGAAATATCTTTAGTAAATCTGTAGATTCCTCTTAAGGGAACAAATCTGCTATATGATTAATGTTTTGGACTAAAACTGTATTATTTCTGGTATTTATTATAATAATAAAAAGTATTAGTGTAGTAAAATAACATTCAGCTGTTCATACTTCAAAATATGACATTATATAGCATTTTTGTCCCCAGTATACTGCTGAAAATAAATATTGATGAGAAAATAAAACTTTAAAAAGGTCTACGATAACATTTTAAAAGAAGGTCTAAAATAAATAAACATACATGTGTCAGAGGAAGTACTTAAGTGTGTTCTGTTCTAATTGCACCAAAGGGGGAAATTAAAAAAAAAAAAAATAGTAGTACTCTGCTGGTTCACTATTGATCTCTTTCTATGCAGCATACCATAAGGGCTCCAAAGGCAGGAGTGATAAAAAAGGTTAATTTCCAAGAAGGTGCCCAGGCCAATAGACACGCTCCGCTAGTTGAATTCGTGGATGAAGAGGCCGAGTCAAAATAAAATTCAAGGATGGTGCATTTTATTTTTTGTACTTTGCTGATTTTTCTCTCAGGAGAAGATTTCTTCATATTTTCAGCAAACTGTTTTATATAATAGATTGGGGAATTGGTTTCCTCTGCACTTCCTGCATAGTTTGACTGTAAATTATGCTGACTTTACTGAAATTGGTTATCACTATACTGTAATCGTATATATAACTCGTGGACCTACGTGACTGTTGTTCAGTGGTTATGTGTGCCTGCGAAAGGGCATTAGACTGCAAAAAGATGTCGAACTCTTAAAGGATGTGACAGATTAGTAAAGACTGTAAGTTATAGACAGCTAGGGTTCTTTTGCCTACTTTCTCATTCACAGCTGCCTTTTTTCCCTGAGATGTGAGAGCATTGGTTTGAAGGAAATCTGAAAGGTGACAATTGTTTTATGAGTTAATTTTTCTGGCAAAATTCCTGTTTGTGGCTTATGCTTTTGCCTGAATAAAGGAATTCAGGATTGTTCCTTAGCCCAGGATCCCTCTCAGTCATTTTTGGTGCATCTTTTTTTCCCATTTAATAAGTAGTGAAAAATTTACATTTCAAAAGTTACGTTAATATATTTTGAAATATCTGATATAAAGCATTTTTAAAATACATATTAGCATTTGCTACACTCAAAGCCAGAAAGTAACTGCTTTCCAAAAATATAATTTGATCTTTAAACATGTAGTAGTAGCACAGGAGGAGGATAAGCTTATTTAATACTTAAAGTGCGCCAGAAATAAAATACTGACTTCAAAATCCTCATTAATTTTTCCATATTGCTCACTTTCTAATCTATTACTTATTGTCTAGAATGAAGTATACCGAAGTCTTTATAACAACATGAAATATGACTAAGAATAATAGTCAGATTCTTTTGTATCTGCAGTGTTGCAGAAGGGAAGATTGGTAGGTTTTTTGATATGCAAAGAAAATATGTCTCGGATGCAGCATATTGATCATGTGCCATAAATTTATTTTAACTTGGTTAAAATGCACCTCAGAGAAACAGGAAAAGGGGGAAAAAAAAAGTTTTAATTGTTGCGGACTTGCAAAATCTTTTTGCCTGTTAGTTATGGTGAAGTTCTGCTTGTCATATGAACTTTTGATACACTAATTTAAGACTATAGCATGGTTTATTCTGCAGAAAGAAACAAACACAGATGCTGCAGTGATCCCAAACTTGTTGTTACATCTGTGCAAATGGATCCTTATACTTACCTGAAATCTCATCTCCAAATCAATATACAATGTCATGGGCAATTCTCTGATCTGATTCTGTAACTGTGCAGCGTTGCCTACAATGCAGACAAAAATTGTAAGAAAGTAATGGCTCTGGATGGTCTGTATATTAAAAACATACAGTAATACTTTTAAATTTCCTTGTAATCCAATGGCCACCTAACAAAAAATTACAGTCCAGTGATTGTCTTGTAGAATATTGCCACAGTGATTTTTATTTTCTGCCAAATAAAAATTAAGCTTAACTTTGAATGTTTGTTTTCATTTTTCTCCATTTTGTTCTTTCCTTGGTTGCTTATGTTTATGCATTAGAGGGTTTTAAGCAGCTGTTCATGTATCATCATCTGATATCTGACAGACCACAATCTGCAGACCACATTTAGGAGGCAGTAATTGAGACAGTCATAATGGGTTTCACTGCAGGTAAGTTTAATGACTTGTTTTATATAAAAATCAAATCTACATGTAGAAACATGAACTCAGTCCTGAAGAGACACTGCAGCTTGTCATTTATTTTTTTTTCTATGTGACAGTGCTGTGTTTCTAGACCTACTTTGCTACACTGAATCGGTAGCAAAACATTGAAACTCACATCATGAAGTTCTCTGTCCACTAAATCTGCACTGCTTGCTTCATCCAGCTAGTGAAACAAGAGCATGTTCCTTGGAAGCTGACAAAATGTTTCCCTTAAGAATGGAGACAAATAATTTTACCAGTTTCAATTTTGCCTCACTTCTGAAAATTAGCTGTTAGGTTTTTTCTCTATAGGTTTCCACTGAGATTGATTTTTTTCAAATAGTGATGGTTTTGTTTATTTCAGAAGGAAATCTCTTGCAGAAGTCACTGTCAGAATTTGCACACTTGAAATGTTTTGCTGCAGTGTGATTTAATGGAACTTAGAGATGTGCAAAGAATTATTAAAGGTAGGTTGTTCCTGTAACCCGGAATTTTAATTTACAAAATATCAGAATTTTTCTCTTTATTACAAATAAATCCTTGTGTTATAAATGTGAATTGATAAGAGCCATATGATAGTAACATAGCTGTAACTAAACTGTTGTGTAGTACAGTGGTAGAGTAAGACAGAAAAAAAATCAGTATTTGTTTAAAATGCAATATTTTTAGTATTTGAGCTAAAAGGGTAATCTCTGCCAGTCGTAGATATTGTAGAAGCAATTAATCTGAACCGATTCTGATGGTAATGATCTACTCTTGCTGCCTGAGGAGAGAGGGGACCGGGTCACGGGATATGTAGTTCAGCCACAGTTGATAGTCTAGGGGAAAGGAGGAGGGCAGTAGTGTTGCAGACTGTGGTTTCTGTGAGACAGGATCAGAGAGTAACACTCTCAGCAAGCTTACTGGTCAGCTTGTTATATCAGGTGTGTAACATCCTGCTTGGCAGTGTCGATGTTACCATACCAAAATGACAGCCCTTCGTAAACTTTAGTTATCCACCTGTGGGGATCTCCGTCTCTCTTGCACTCTTTGGCTGCTGTCAGTTACTACAGCTTATACCCAGTGAAGGCCTGTGGCGTGGAGCCTGAATCCTTGCTGAATCAGTGATGAGGACACAGGGAGTGGAAGGCAGGAGGGCAGGACTGTGTTCTTATTTCAGCCATTGACTCACTGTGACTTCAGGCAAGTCACTTAGTAGGTATTTGCCTGTGTTTCCTGCTATTTAATGAGGTTGATGGTAATCAAAACACTGCAAAATTTGTGGACATGGTGATTTATAAATAATTATTTTCCATGCTTGTGGGTAAAATTGTAATTTCAGATGTAGACTTTATTTTTACTTGTAAGGTTATTTTTTTTACCCTTTATACAGTAAATATATATACCAGTGAATTATAAAAATAAAGTTTCCAATACGTATTAAATCCTTTGTTGTAATGGTTGTAACTACCTAGTTACCAGAAAATCCTAGCTTCTGTTTTCATGATTAAAAAATGAATACTCAAGTGTTTTGGCAGGACCTTTAAAACTTAAGTCAATGGTAGGGGAACAAAATGAAGTTGACCTGAGCACACTACTCTTCTATTAAAGCAACTTGTACCTAATTTAAAGGGCATGTCAACCAGTGCACTTACCACAGGTATATTAATTTCTGCCGATTATTCTTCTGTTCAGTCAGATCAGGAATTATTTGACTCTGTTCTACCTGTTCTGTTTGTAAAAAGCTCAACAGTGCTGTGTAGAATGTGCTTACTGAACAGTCAATGGCAATGGATTAAGGTCTGAACAGCTTTTACACTAGGTATGTTCACTTTAACTGCTTGTACAGTTATGTTCAAAATGATAGATTTTTATGCATGAATGATTTGCAGGTAAATATCACTTCGTATCTTTATGATACTGGGGCATAGCCTTCTGCATAAGAATTCCATTTGGAAAGTAATATACGCTGCTGAGTGTCATATTAAAAAAAATTAATATTGCAGAAATTCATAATTGAAACCTTGGCATTTCTTTTTATGTGGACTGATTGTATTTATTGAAAGAAAAGAGCCTGGGCTCTAAAAGCAGTGCAATATCTTTTATGAGACAGTTGATGTTAGCTTAAAATCTGTTGATTATATGATGAATACATGTTAAAATAAACATGGATGTTCTGGTTGAATACCCTGTATTTTTTATTATAGCAGTAATAAGCAAGTAAAACACATGTCTAGAGTCCTACTGGGTTTTGAAATTATAATGGTAGCTGGATATTAGCTTTAATCTGTTTTCCATATAAACAGTTCTCGTGCCAAAAAGTTGCTCTTGAAATGATAATTGGTCTCTGTGAATGGCAGCCAATCTACTCACTTAAAAAGTAGAGAAAGCAGGAGATGTTAATGAACTAGAGCCAGCAAAGCTCCAAGGAGTGTCTGGTGAAAAAGCCTGGTGCTGAGAGCTCCATCCCTCTTTTGTGTCTCTGAAAAGGAAAGAGACATCTTATTCTGGGCTCTGCTGTTGTGCTCGCTCATCGGTGTGCGCTGGCACACACAGCAACTGTCAGTCATAAATACTGGCATGATAACTGCAGCCAAAGGCCCCATGCAGGCTCAGTGTCCTGTGCTCAGCTTTCCAGAAACATAAGACATAGCTCCTGCTCATAGAGTTTTAAAATGAGATAAAATATGAACTACAATAAACCAATTTAAAAACAGAACTGTTATATACAGATGTGGTTTAATGCATGTTTTCCTTGAAGTTTGCTCCACTGTATTCATGTTGATAGCTAGTCACAGGCATGGAGGTTACAATCTGCCACTTAACAGAAAATTAATACTGGCTGGGTTGTGTAGACATGTTCCCAAAAACTGTTACGACAGCGTGAGGAGTGGAAAAGGCTCAATGTGTGTGACATGTATGGCAGGAGGTAAGAGACATCTTACTACCCTTGCTTTGTGTGTCTACATTACTCTTGCAGAGTGCTTACCTCAAGGCAAAAGGCTCTGCCTTCTATACATGTAACTTAAGTTACTGTTTCATATATTAATAGCAAAATGTGTGCTCTGAATTCAGATGGTTTATTTTTATTAAGTTGAACAATTAAAGATGGCACATATAGAAAATCCCTGTGATAGGGAAATAATAGTGTGTCTCCTAGATTCTTGGTATCATCCATACTTCTTTGTAGTGAGAATGGAAAGCTGTTTACAGTTCTAAGGCATAGGTTTTAATCATGAAATCATAGCTATGATGGCACTGTCTGGTGTATAGCTTAGGAAATTTCAAATCATTCTGTTTACAAAGATCATACGTTGTTTACAGTTCTGAACTGGAATGTCTGTATCTCATAAAAATCAACTAGCTATGTCAATTCTTATTGCCCTCTCATTTCTTAATTCATATTACTTAAAATGCCTTGATTTTAGTGTATGTATCTCAGTACTTCTAATGAGTTCCAAAAAAATACAGAAGTCTTGCAGTCTGCTGCCTGTTAGGTGTCCTGGCAAGTCTCAGTTTATTCAGGCCTGCCAGGTTATAGTTAGGTACATGAGATATTTTCAGACT